CAGAAGCCTAAGAATCATTCTTCACATCTCCTTCTTCCTTACCCACAAATCCCATCAATCATCCAATACTATTACTTCATCTCCATCACTCTAATCTTGCCATTTCTCTCTGAAGCCACCTCCCTAGGTGGACCTGTCATCTCTCCCGTGAATATCTGCAAGAGTCACTAGTGGCTTAGCCACACACACATCCCACCCATTCTCCATACGAAATCCAGGTGACCCTGCCAACACAAAAAAAATCTACCATGGCTCCCCAGTGCTCTCAGGATGCTGACAAAACACCCTATGTAAGTCCAAGCCCCCTCATGCTCTCCCCATACCTTCCTGCCTCATCTCCCCTGCTCACCAGCTCTATCTGTTCTCTCTTTCATTTCTAGGCACTGCCATGCTCTTGCCTGCTGCTTCCTCTGTCTGGAATGCTTTTCTCTATCCCTTTTACCTAACTACCAGCTCACCTTTCCAATTGCAAGAAAAGCAGAAATTCCCTGGGGAGTCCTTCCTGACTCAAAAAATTCAGGTATGACTTACATACAGTAAAACCTATCCTTTTTAGTGTAAAATTCTGTGACTTTTGACAGACATAACCATGACCAAAATCAAGATACAGAACAGTTTTGTCACTACCAAAAATGCTCCCGTGCCTCTTTGTAGCCCCATCTTCCCCACCAGCGATCAGATAACTACTGATCTGTTTTCCATCCCTGTAGTCAGTGTCGGCTTGGCCACAATGCCATATAAATAAAATCACAGTATATGTAGACTTTAAGGTCTGACTTCTGCTTAGCACAATGCATCTGAGATTCACCCACGTGGCTGTGTGTTATCTGGAGTTTATTCCTTTTCATTTCTGAGTAGTACTCCATTGTATGGCTATATCATAGCTTGTTCATCCCTTCACCGGTTGAGGAACATCTGGGTTCTGTCCAATCTTTGGTGATTATGAATAATGGTACCATAAACCATCAGGTACAAGTTTTATGTAAACATGGGTTTTTATTTCACTTGGGTAAATACTCTCTGGTTAACTGATTCATTATCACAGAATACCTGTCGTGGTCAGTTTTCATTTTTCATAAATTTGTGTAATGAATTAACATCTCACCCACTGGACTATAAAATCCATGAAAGCAAAAACCATATCGGATTATAATCAGCACTGTATCTCTAATGCCTAGTATGTGCCTGGCACACAGTAGGCACTCAGTAAATAGTTATTGAATGAATGAATTAATGAATGAATGAACTACCTTCTCATTAGGCACTGTAAGGAACATAAAGTACTCTCCTTTCCCACTTTTACTTTCTTAATTAGGGGAAGGAAGATGGACAATATATGTTTAAGCATCACTAAGCACTAAAAGAGGCTTCTTTTTTTGTGGGAGAAAATAAGGGGGTTTTTTTGGTATTGTTTTTTAGATTGTAATATCAGCATCACATTATAGAAAACTTTGAGAAGTTAGAAACACATGGTCCTTCTCACTATTACAACAAAACTGTTTTTATTTTTGTGAAACTTTTACAGTCTTGTCCTTGGGATATTTGCTTTCAAACTCACTGGGGCTGGGAATAAAATAAACAACCAAATACATCAATCCACACTTTTCCCCAGCCTGACCTGCAGCAGCAGAGCCTTGGAGGAGACGGTTCTGTTTTTCCCTTTCTCCTTCCACCTGGGAAAAGTCATTTTACAAAAGAGCTGCCAGAATCCCAGAGGTGGTCGGGGGGTGTGGGGTGAAGAGGCCGGCTGCTCAGGAAGCAGTTTCCCAGCCGGACCTCCCACAGAGAGAACACGGGCTCCAGCTGCTAACACACCAGGCCCATCTGGAAAAGAGAGGAAGACCTTGGCCTCCTCAGGCTGCGCGGCTTAATGGCTGGGGAGACCACCCTCAGCTTGCTTACCCGAAGGAAAGAAGGAAAGCCCTGTCCGTAGTATCCAACAGCAAAGTATTCAGGCTGAGGCCTCATGGCCTTAATGATGTTCTCATAAAACGAGGCTCTTTTTTTCTGGAAAACAAAACAAGACATTCCACAGGGAGGTTACAAGGGCACAGTTTGGAGGGGGCTGGGGGTGGGGTGGGGTGGTGTGGGGTGACGATTTGCCTTGTTGTTTCCCATGTAACACAGAGAAATGAAAGGTCTCTGGAAAATATCTTGTGGGCCAAAGAGTTATCCTTTTCTGGGATCGGAGGGTTTGATCCTGGGTCCATGAATGGGCCTTGGAGGGTCTGGGATTCCCTGAGGTTGTCTGCAGAAAGATGCACACGTTTGTATGTTGCTGTGGAGGGAGGCAGTGCTTAGCTTTCACTAGTTTCTTGAAAGGGGCTCAGGACCCCTAACAGGCTAAAAACCTTTCTGAGACTCATGAAGGGTGGTTGTCCTTTAAGTGGAGACATGTGAGAAAAGAAAATAAAGAACTTTCTGGTTCCTGCAGGTGGTTCAGATTAAAGTCCTTGATTCAGCTACAAATGCCCAACAGGTAAAGATGATGATGTTTTTCAATACCTGGCATCACCCCATCTTTAAGTCTTCCCATGGGGAGAGGTTTCCCAGCCAGGGTTCAGAGAATCAGCCTTAAGGAAAGCAAAATAGGTAGCCAGATCCAGGGGTTCTGTGGGGAGTCCTGAAGCCCCTTCCACATGGTTTGCATGACTTCATCACTACAGCAGTCGCTCCTGATCCACAGGCAATATGTTCCAAGCCCCCCCAGCCTGAAACTGAAGATAGCACTGAAACCTACTTATACTATTTTTTTTCCTATACATACATACCTATAATAAAGTTTAATTTATAAATTACACAGTAAAAGATTAACAACAATAACTAATAATAAAATAGAGCAATTATAATAATATAATTGCATACATATATATATATATATGTATATTATACATAACAGCAATAAAAGTTACGTGAATGTGGTCTTTCTATCTCAAAATATCTTATACTGCCTGCACTCACCTTTTTCACTTAAAGGAAGCAACTTCTCTTTGGCACGTGTGAATGGTCAGCATCACTATTCTTGCACTTGGGAGCCATTATCAAACAAGTGTTACTTGAACACAAGCACTGTGAAACCATGACAGTTGATCTGATAACCAAGACACCTACTAAGTGACTCATGGGCAGGGGGCGTGACAGCATGGAGACGCTGGACAAAGGTATGATCCACATTTCCAGAGGGACGACACAGGATGGTGCGAGATTTCATCACATGACTCAGAACAGCGTGCAATTTAAAATTTATACGTTGTTTATTCCTGGAATTTCCTATTTATTATTTCCAGACTGCAGCTGACTGACGGTAACTAAAACCATGGAAAGTGAGACCGCGGACAAAGGGGGACTGCTCTGCTCTGTCTAGGTGCAGGTCTCCATCACATGTTTTCTTAGAAGGGTAACATGTTACATTACTAACATCTCGGCTCAATTTAGCTTATGAAATTAATGTGACATTTCGTGTGATGGCAGGAGCTGGTACAATACACTGAAAATTCTTTTCAAAGTGATCTTGAATAACTATCTCCTCAAATAAATTATTATTGCATAACAATAAGTCACCTGACCTTTGGTGACTCCTCTACTAGAAATTATCAAATGGAATATTGCATTGGCCTCCCATTGGGAATTTAGAAGGCTATTTTTGTTTTGTTTTATTGTTTTTAAATAGTTGACCTGTGTCAACAGCCAGGCATAATACACAAATTCAGGGGACTGTAAAACCAGAGTACTCTAGTGACATGTGGGAAAAGGAAAGAGGCAAAATTTGAGAATCAAGTTTTGGCAGACGCATTTTACAACTTAACCAAAATGTGCACAATGGCATGCTTGAAAAAATAAAACAAGGCTCAAAGACGCACAGTTCAGTCATTCAGCAGGGACCTGAGGATGTGGACCACAGAACAAGTAATTTTGATGAGCGGAAGATGTCGGAAAACATGTGAAATATGGATGGTGTTCACAGAAGGTGTACCTGAGAGGGTACAGGAGATGGTCCAGGAATATGGAGGGTCCACAGAGAAGCAAAAGGCACAGAGAAGAAAGGAAGGGTTTAGACAGGGATCCTGAGCCCTCCATCAAGGATAATCTAGAGAAATTATGGTAACAGCTTCTGGATCTCATCTTTTTTCATTTTTATTTCAAGCAAGGCTTACATTTCCACTGTAAAGAACACTGTTTATCCTGACTTTCTTAAACTTACACAAACATTTTCATGAACGCCACTTTCGCATGCCTGCTGAAGGTTTGACATATTGACCCAGACTCACCAGGAGATTGCCCAGGCCCTCGTAGTCAAACACTTTGCTCTCGTATGTCTCAGCCAGCTCTTTGCTCAGTTTGATCGCCTTCTCCCACATCTTCCGAAAAAGAAAAGCGGAGAACAAAGTAGTCATTGATCCAACAGCGAACGCCATGAGAGAGTCACTGGCCATAAGTAAAGAGTCACGTGGGTCGAGTTTCTGCTGATATTCCGACATGCCTCATCTCCGGGATCTACTAAACCTTTTTATTGACATGATAAAGCTACTCTAGCTTGGCTTCTTGGCTAGGAGTTATCTTCTCTAAGTCTGTTTGCAAGAGTACGAACAACACCATGTGCCCTGAACAAAGCAATGGTGAGCTTAAAAGGAAAAGTCCCAAAAACCATTGCAAGTGGAGGGGAACCAGTTCCACAGCCTAGGTCTTGAGAGTGGGACAGTCTTGATGGAGGGGAAAGAAAGTTGGTTTGGGTTCTAGTTCTGAGAAGTGTGTATGTGTGTGTGTGTTTCAAGTTAGGTTGTTTTGGGGGGGTGGGGCATGGGGAACGGAAGAAAGGCTGTGTTTTGTTGTGGTGTGGAATTTGGGAACTATTTCTCCAACTGAAGGCATTGATTTCCTACTTCTCACTAAACTATCTACTTAGTCAAAGAGAGTTTTAGAAAATGCCTTGGAGCATTTATGCATTTATGACCATGTAAGTTACAG